AACCTATCATTAATCCTGAATCCGATCCGTGCAATAACGGGCCACGCGTTCCATCACAATCATTCGAATCAACCCCCTGGCTCTCTCTCTCTCTCTTTGTCTTCTTTCTTCCCATCCACTCGACTGGCACTAAAAACGAAAAATAATTAATCGTTAGGTAATCGAATTGGAAAGCGAACGGGCGAAAGGAAAGCTAGTTGTTATTCCAGCAAAAGAAAGAGAAAAAAAATATCATTTGAAAAATGAAAAATTCAACGAAAGGCTATCTCGAGAATTCTCGAGTGAATTTAGAATAACTTAGAGAATTTGTAACGCAAATAACGCAAAGTTATTGGCCGATATATCTTCGTTAAGGTAGAGTGGAGACGAGAAACGCGTAAAAGGGTTAGGAGAAGAACGGTGGAATAGAAATCTACGAATTGTTCTCCATTTTGGCCGTGGTTTGCCGTCCCCCCCCACCACGGTGGCAGGGTGTTGCGCCAGGTTTACCACTTCGTGAGCGCTATCCGGACACCTGAATCGAGAGGATTTTCACAACGGCGCTGCCTGACGCGAGAGAGCTCCGGCTAGGTTGTCGCGTGGGCGACCGGAAACCGTACCTTCCTACCGTCTTTGGTCGTCACTCGACGACTCCGCGGAGAAGGGGGTCCAGAGGAGAAGGGAGGAGAGAGAAAAGGCAGACCGACCGGCCAAGAACTGGCGCAGCTCTCCTTCAATGTTCTCCACAACAGCCAGTACCCGCGGCCGAGGGCGGATCTCTCCTCATCGTCACGTAATGTTTTGAGGCACCAGGACCTACAGGGATTCCTACTTACCGCGTTCAATATACGTATATGGCTGTATGTTAATAAAAAATAGAAATTTTTCTCGGCGATTCTTCCGTTTCCGGACATAATAATAAATTAATTAATGTCGCGCTAACGTTCCTTGCGTGTTGCGACATTTAATTTTAACGATTTAACGGTAATGGACTAATGAAATTTTTATGACGCGTATACATTACACGATTCTTCTTAATTGCTCCTCGTGTTAAAATCATATTTCTGTTGATAAATGAATAATTCATGCACAATATCGTGTTTCAATCTCCCTCTTTTTATATAAAAAAGAAACAAAAAAAACAAAAAAAAAAAAAAAGAAAAGATACAACTGGAAAATCGTGTCACTAAAATGTCCTTAGTGGAGGGATTAATTTGTAACGATTGCCGCATAAAGAGTACCAAGGATATATATCTGAAAACATGTCGAAACGCGTGAGATAGGAAAAAAAGGAAGAAAGAGATAAAAAAAAATACTATCTAGGCTCTTCGGATGATAGAAAGGTGATGACCTCGATCCTACGCCTGCCGCGTATAAAACGCCGCGCCGTTCCCGTCTTGCACCTCGTTCCGCCTGTTTCTGCTTGCCTGTTCTGACTGGCCTGCCCACGCCTGCCCTTCTGTCAATTATATTTACTATTTCATTCATACGGCCGCCGCTTGGTCCACGAGCCGTGCCCATTCACGAGAACGGCCGCGCATGCCAGATCGCTCGCGCCCGATGGCTATCCGATAGGGTAGCGCCTCCATATATGATTCGGATGGAAGTGCACTGCGGGCAAAAATGTAATTGCCGTAATCTAGGATTATACGGTTGCGTAACATCGACGCCAGATATATTCTCTGCGTTTGTGAGCGTATATGTGTTTGTGTACCTTTTACTCTCCGTGCTGGGTTGTGTAATATTCGAGCTTTCAACGAAATGGAAACGATAACGTTAGATTCCGAAAAGCGCGCACGCCATTAATTGTTGGTGTTTCGCCTTGCGACGCATGCGCAGAACCTATGCGCAAAGATTCGTCGCAGACGCAGTTTTTCGTGAATCGTTCGTTAACACAGTTTCTTTTTATTCCTTTTTTTCTTTTTTTAAATATAATAAAAGATACGTTGTCGTATACCTTGAAACGTTTCTTTCTTTACTTTCTCACCAACTCCTCCCGATACACAGCAGAGACCGTGAGAATTTTTTTCGGCTCCCAAGGGGTTCGCTCACTAATCGGGCGCTAATTTGCTTGATGCCGTAAGGAAACAGACGGGAGGATCTTACTAATTCGAGCCAGTAGACCGTAAAAATTCACTGGTTTTCCTAACACCGTATATGGTATTCTTGTTTAATAGAGAACGCAATCGGCTATTTACATGGCAAATTTGTTCGCGATCTCGATGAAAATTTATGCTAATCGATTTAATGTCACGGGTTCATGATTCGTTTTTAATGATTCAATCAAGATTAAGTATTGTAAGATTACACCTACTCGAATTCAAATGATACGGGTTACCCTAGTTCTTTATTTTTTTTTTTTTTTTTTTATATACATATTCTAATACTTGTGATAGATCCATAATACTAATTGACTCAATTTCACGTCAAAATCGATGATCGTCGATCACGTTTAGATCGATCACGAGGCATTCTTTAAAGAGGCCGAGAAATTTTTCGTGTTCCATCGGAAGAGATGAGGTCAACGTTATTTTCTAATAGATGAGACACTCGACGAAACTACACATACATACATATCTGATAGTTCGAATAATTAAGTTTCCACGTTGATTCTCGTGATTCCTATAAAGGCATCGGGTTCACGCCTACGCTCAATTCCTTTTCGACTCTTGTGTGATTAGGATTCTGTGATTGCAAAGCTGTTTTAGCGTTTAATGATGTTTTTTTTTCTCAACGTACGCGTGTAAAACTTGTCAAGGATCACTATTGATAACTATTAATGAACGATAACTCGATATCTGATACATTTTTTTTACAAATTTTGATCAACGTTCGACCGATGTAATACACGTAATCGTATTGTATAATTTTACACGTTGTACGTAATTTTACATGATATGAATATCTTATTTTATAATTAGTTTGTAAAAATTTAATCAAAATATCGATATAGACCATATCTGTGTATATTTACTTCGATTTTAAATTTTTGTAATTACTTTTATAACTAATTTTATATCGCTTGTATAACAATGCCATCTAGTAATAATAAAAAATAACAGTATATAAAGTTATCGTTATCAGAAATCGGTAACGATGTACTCTACTTTATTTTTTAATACTATTTAAAATAAGAAGTTTCTTTATATATTTTTCATAAAAAGAAGTTCTTAATAATTTCTTAATATTAAAAATTTTTTATTTCAATTTTTAAATTATTCTAATAATCTTATTTATATATCATATTTGAAATTCGACGCTATGTTTTTCATTCCCTTTTTTATTTCATTTTTAATTTGTAACATGCATCCAGTTTAATTGAATAAAAATTTAATCTTTAGAATATAGAAATCTTAAAATCATGTCTTGTTTATTCAAAATTATAAAATGTAATTTCATCGATCGCGATTAGAGGGGGCGGATTTTCATGCTCGATCGGTACAAACATCATTGTTCGCCATAATAGAAAATAACCCACATGTTGCCTCTCTGTTTTTGTTCTGTTATTCGATCAGCTGATCAACTATGGAGACTTCAATCCTAAACGCGGTAAGTGTCTTCGTGCTTTCTTATCATTGTGCATAACCAACAATTTTATCTTCGTTATATGTTAATAATGTATAAACGAACATTCTTTATCACGTACAGTGTTTCTTTGTGTAAGTTAGTGAATTCGATTTTACAAAAACATGCGACTGTGCAAGTTACGTCGTATTGATATTGAATTATCGAATGTCATATGTTAATTTTCGAGAATTTTTTTAATACTATTTGTTCTTATTTCTTAGATTTCTTTGTACAAATATTGATATTATTTTTTTTTTTTTACCAAAGGCACACGAAAAACAAAGAAGAGCAGATGCATTGTTGCAAGAAGGTCGTTTTGAAGAGGCAGCCAAGTGTCATGAAACAGTAGCCAGTCTGTTAGAAGAAGCACATGTACAACTTGAATCTAATTTTTTTAATTTGAAAACTTCCCGTTTATCTAGTCAACCACCACCATTCACACCATTTACACCACCATTTGTGATCTCTTCTTTTCAATCATTCATTACTTTGGAATCCCTTGCTCTACAACGCGATTATCACAAAAGACAAGCTGCTGTAGTTAGGTAAGTAAAGTAAAAATAACTCTTTATTTTTTTTTTTTTATTAAAATATAAATCACAAATATTTATGAAAATTCTCATCCTAGAATGAAACAAGCTCAATACGAAGAGTACAAAGCCACATTGGAAAACCAAAGAAAAGAAATTCTTAGCAAACAAGTATCTAAACAAGTTGAAAAGGATACATCTGAGTTTACAAGTGATAAATTTGATGGATCCCTACGGCAAGCTATATATAGAACGATCGAAGAGCAGGATAGCCTTTTGACTTTAATCTCATTACCTAATAGCGAAGAAAAAGCTTTTAAATATCCAAAGGATGCTAGTACTGTTATTGAAGAATTGAAAACTGCTAATTGCCAATTGCGTTGTCTAGTTGGGAGCTTGCTAAACCAACTGGAGGCAAAGGAAGAGGAAGTGAGGCAATTGACCGAACAACTTCACGCTGCTAATCTTAATGATGAAAGTAGATTAGACAATGCTTTAAGACTTGCACCTCTGCCACCTTTAACTCCTCTAGAAATGCCTCTTTTTGACTTTACGTCGACATAAAGTATTATGTGATGAGTGTGGTTTTTTAATTGAATTTTTCATTAAATAAGATATAAAAACTATATATATATATATGTATAAATGAAATCAGATCTGTAATAGTACAAAGATTAACGCGAATATTGCTGCAGTATTCAATTTCTTACCGCAGAATTTTAAAGTTTAAGTGTGCTATAAATAATATTTTATAACCTTGATAAAAAGTAATTATATAATCACACTGACGAATTAGCGTATTAGTACTTATTCTCGTTCGTTTAGTATCATTCAAAGGGATCAAAATACATATCAGTTACATAGAAGCGATGTAAAAAAATTCTGTATTTAGTTTATGAGTGAAATTTGCAATATATCATGCGTCTATATATATGTATGTGAATAATAAAGCAGTTGATTTTATCGATTAAAATACTGCCATTTATTATTAGATGTTTGTAGATAGAGACGAAATAAGTACAATAAGTACAATAAGTTTATCCTGAAATTGTACAAAGTTGTAAAACTATACCTAACCGTTGTTAATCCGCAATAATCCGTGTTGCAATTGCGTGTTCGGTTTGTTCTAGAAATTACTCTTGAATATGTAGTGGCCGTTTGAAAAAAAACTTTGTTATTTACCATGTAATGGTGCGCAATAAACAATCTACCGACTCTACGAAACTACGATTTCTTATTATAAACTGTTACATTCTCGCACGAAGATCTCTCGATAAATGTCAATTTTTAACGTTATCGATACGATGAAAAATTTGACGCTCTTGACCTGATAAACGAACACATTCAATACCTTCAATAAATTCGCCACTTTGACAATTGTACAAAAATGATACGTAAATAATATACGAGAGAGAAAAAAAAAAGAAAAGAGAAAAAATTACAGAAAATAATGATCAAAATTTTTGGTGTAATCTCACAATATTCGAATGATGCAGCGTTACCGTTCGCTCGTCCCGAATGGGAATCCATTGGAAATTTATAATTCGGAGTATGGTTGAGCAATGGATAGATCAGGTGAAATAATAACAATTTTCATAGGGCAGGCTGGCACCCAATTAGGAAATGCCTGTTGGGAATTATTTTGTCTGGAACATGGCGTGTCTCCCAATGGCTGTCTTCGCCAAGGTTATTATCCAACGGATCCCACTATGTGCGCCTTCTTTTCAGAGACGCAAGTAAGCAAGTGCATTATATATAACGGAAACAACAAATTGGACTCGATCCAAAGAACCTATTCATATTTTTTTTTTTTAGGTAAGAAAGCTGACCCCGCGAACGATGATCATTGATCTGGAGCCAAGCGTGATCGACGAGATTAAAACGGGCGAATACAGGCAACTTTTCAGCCCGGACTCGTTGATCACCGGAAAGCAAGACGCGTCCAACAATTACGCGAGGGGTTACTATAGCATCGGTAGAGAGGCGATTCCTCTCGCATTGAGTCGTATTTCCAAGTTAATAGAAGGTTGCTCGAAGCCAGCTGGATTCATCGTATTCAGGTAATTCAGTTTCAAAGAATTCATTCAATCAGAAATTTCACTCGATCAATTTTGCACAGATCGATAAGCGGTGGTACCGGAAGTGGTTTTGCCTCCTTGCTGCTTCAACAATTATCAGTGGATTATCCGAAAACGATCATTTTGGATTTTATTATTTATCCATCTCCCAACATATCTTCGGTTATCGTGGAACCGTACAACGCGTTATTCTCTACCCATGGTACATTGGATCACGTGGACTGCTCCTTCCTCGTCGACAACGAAGCTCTATACAACATTTGTGCCAAGTATTGATCAAAAATTAGAAGAAAAAAAAAATATCGTATTGATTTATCGTATCGTCTTATCCATCTCCGTTTTCCAAAATTAGCAATTTGGACGTGAACGATCCAACTTTCACCAATCTGAACCGCCTGTTGGCTCAAATTGCCTCCAGCGTCACGGCTTCGATGAGGTTCGAGAGCGCTGTGAACGTTACCCTCCAAGAATTGCAAACTAATCTCGTACCATATCCAAGAATCCATTTCTCCTTGACTACGTACGCTCCGCTCATCTCTCCTAGAAGGGGCCTGTACGCTGAAATCACCACCCAGCGGATCACCACCGATTGTTTCATACCTTCGAATCAGGTGGAGCGAAAATAGATTTAGATTTATTTATTTTTTCAAAAAACGGTAACATCGGTTTTTAACGTTTTTTTTAACGAATCTTTAGATGTTGACGATCGATCCACGCACTGGAGCTTACACCAGTTGTTGTTTACTTTATCGTGGAAATGTGAGCGCAAATGACGTTAACAAAACGATCGCGTCACTGAAAGGGGCGAAGTCTATTCGTTTCGTCACTTGGTCTCCGACCGGGTTCAAAGTACGTTATTTATTTACGATTTTCTATTTCTTTTTTTTTTTTCCCTACATATTTTTATGATATCGTAATTTTCCATTTTGAAACAAATACTCGCTAAAGGATGGAATTGTAAATAATCTTTAATTTAAATGACACAGCAAAATTGGTAGATTGCTGTGCCGATATATCCAACGCTGCGTGAAAAATTAACCGTACGTTGAACCGTTGAATAGATAATGCCTTTTTCTCTTCTAACCGTGACTTGAACTGTGAATCTGTTTAGTCTTACGTTATGAAAATAAACGATTAATATCATTCTCTGCGTAAACAGAAACATAACTTGATAAACGAAATAGTTTTAGGAAACTGTTTTTATTGGAAAGGAAAAAAAAAAATGCATTCGTAGGTAGGTATTAACTATCAGCCAACCACGACCGTCCCTGGCGGTGATCTGGCAAAATCGAACAGGACGGTGGTGATGATCGGCAACAACACGGCGATGAGACACAGATGGTCGATGCTCACCCGGAAATACGACTTGATGTACCAGAAAAGAGCTTTCTTTCATCATTACATAGGCGAGGGTATGGAGGAGGATTTCTTCAAGGAGGCAAGGGAGGACATGATGACTCTGATCGATGATTACAAAGAGATCGAGAAATGAATTTCTCGAGATTCTGCTCGAGAGAAAGATTTTCAACTTCAACAAAGTTTCTCTTCTACGCATGGGAGGGATTACAAGATATTTGCTGTATTGCTCTTTCGTACGTGCAAAAGGTAATAATAAATAGGGAAGAACGAGAGGCAAAGAGAAGAAAGAATCTCAATATTTGCTGCATGCGTCGTACGTTGTTGATTGGAGGAGCGTTGTTTGATTTATTTCTATTATTTCAGATGAGAAGAAGAAATGTGATTGCACGAGATAAGAAGGAATCGCGCGAAGATAAGCGGGCAGCCAGTGGTAGACTCGCCGGCACCAATGGGTACAACGCGAGCGATCGTGTAATATTGACTTTCACTGTTACATTTGGCACGGACACACGGACCATCGATAAGGAATCACGCACTTTTCAATCCAGAACGTGCGGATACCTGCATGCTCCGCACTGTCGGACAAGTATATAACAAAATTAGGCCTTGTTGTATTCGTGTAACGACGTGCTAATGATAAGCGGTATCGGGTGATTGGTATCCCAACCGCGATATCAACGTGTCATCCGCTTTGTTCTGGATATAATCGGTCATTTATCTTCGAGTTATCTTCGGGGACAATTAAGAATTCCGAGAAAATAAACAGGAAAATCCTGAGATATTATTACAACAGCACCCTTATTATTACAATTCTGGCTACAAAATGTATAAAACGTATCGTAAAAATATACCGATTTCAAAGCGAACGATAAAATCGTATTCCCTCTTTCTTTCTTTCGATCTTTCCCTCGAAATTTCTTCCAATTCTTCCTTAAATAAAACAAATTAATTTCTCCCTTTCGTCGTTCCGTTCGAACTTTTGCTCTACCAGATCGATTTACCAGACATATCGAGAACTCGATTTCGATCGAGAAACTCGTGTTACCGATAACCGATAAACCGAACACGATAAACGCGTTAGGATCGAACGAAGGATCCCCAACGAAGATATAACCACTCGAAAACCTTATCGTTCACGCATTGCTCTCTCGACCAAGTGTGTACATAACAAGTTCATTTACGCGTTACATAATTTTCCTCCAACGCAATTACACTCCCCCTCCAACCTTTATCGTCCAACCTTGATTCGGTGTACGTACGTTGTGTACGTACCTCTGCAAACACGGATCGGCCGGTTATTAATGGGAATGGCAGACAGATAGGAGAAGAAGAAGAAGAAGAAGAAGAAGCGTGGCACGAGCTCCGCTTTTATCGAAATCGACGATCGCCTATCTCGATCACGCCGTCCCCTCTCCACTTCCCTCCGCGACGCCACGAAAGTTTCACGTGAATCATATCGACCGTCTTTCTCTCCCTCCCTCCCTCCTTCTCTCTCTTTCTCTCTCTCGGCGGTGTACGATTGTTGCATCGCCTTCGAGTCTTTGCACGCGTTTATACGCATCGTTCTTTCCTTTTTTTTCATTTAACTTTTCCAATTACGCAGCGTTGCGGCCCCAAATGAACTTGACGACGATTTCTTTCCTTCCTCGTTTCAGCGAATTAAATTTTCCATCGATCGTCCATTGGTCGAACTTTTCTTCTTTTCTTTTTTTTTTTTTTTTTTATAATATGATGAAACGATACGTGGAATAACAAGAGCGCAATAAACGAGATCGTTCTTAAATATTTTATCCTCGGTCGGATAGAGATCGTAGATTCTTTCTTTCTTCGGGAATATTTTTGAAACGCGTGCATCGATATTAATAGGGCGGGGGAAAATTTTTATTCGAATAACATTCCAACTTCGTAATAATGGAAAATGTAAAAAAGGAATTCGATGTATTTCCTCTTTTCCTTTCCTTTATAATATACCAACAATTTTCCACTGAAATTTTTATCCTCTTATCGAAGATTAATGTAATTAAAAGCGCATTTCGAGCAAAACAAAAATATATTATGTACGTAAAGCGCGTAGATGATCGATGAAAAATGATATTTTACAGGCTCGCGAGAGACGACGCAATGTGAATTAAGCGCAAAATTAAAAAGAAAACTCGTATGATACAATGGATTAAATACCGATGGTATCAACGATTAACACCGATAACTGCAAGTGTAAGCTTGAGCTTACGTGGACGATAAACACGTAAACGAATTAGGAGCGAAATTAATCCATGGATTTCTTTCGTGGATGCAAAAGGAGATAAAAACACAACTTTGTTCGTGTTTTCCTTAAGCCAATCTCAAAAAAAAAATTACAGATTTTTTTTACACATCCCGATCATGTGATCGAAATACATAATCACAACGATTTTACGTGTTAATCTCGAGCCAATGAGTAATTTTACGATTATAAAACGTGGCGCGTGTAATTATTGAACGATAATAACGAGATGTTTTCCATGTTATCTTTCTCACAGAGAAACTGGAATCTAGAATCGTGATAGATTTGAATGCATTGAACAAGTACAAATTTGCACAACGATTACGATTCGTGTATTTTCGACGAGGAAAATTATTTTCGACCTCTTTATTATCGTTTCCGTGTACAAATTTAGACGGCCGATTCTTCTCCTCCTCTTCTCGTAGAACGACAAAACGAACGCGCGTTAACCGTGTTTTTATTATTAACGCCGCGTTCCAGAGAAGATCGACCTGGAAGAGGACCGCGTATGCGTATCGTGTGCACGTATATTAATTGCGATCAGAGAGACAAAGTACATCGGAGAGATGCGAAATGTTATCTCTCCTGACAGAGAGAGGCTATTTTTTTAACGATATACATATATATATATATACGACTGCGTCAATATATAATTTTCCACGAGCGTGTTAAACGATCGGGGAAAAATTGTTCGATGATTTATACGAAGGTATCGTAAAATGATTTATGGATGCTCGTCGAGTATCATCGGGTATTATTCACCCTGGCTTTACAGTTATTAACATTCCTCTGTGTTAGTGTTTGACAATGAACAATTGAAGATCGATCGTTAAAAAGAAAAAAGGAAAGATCGTTATAAAACTCCAAGAAATTATCTATACATCGACAACATCTCGAATTCTCGTTGAAGCGTAAAAAAAAAAAAAAAAGAACAAATTTCGATAAATCGTTTCGAATAATCGAGCATTTTTCCTTTTTTTCCTTTACTTTTCGAAGAAACAAACTCAAGGCCGTGTTATCACAATCCTATTTACTAACATTCCCGATAACGACATTCGATCGTATTAGCATACCGAATTAATCGTCATTATCGTTCGTTTCAATTAACACAGAGTGCAACTCTGTGTTTCGTACCATCGCTTCGAAAAAAAACCGTCGAATTTTATCGAAAGCAGAGCAGAGACTCACGTCACAGATAACGATCACGATTGAGTATCGAGAGATCAGTCAAAGAGCAGATCATCGGTTGTTTATCTTAAAAAAACTTCTGAGAAACCGCTTCCCACCACCCGGTTGTTCCAGGATTCGGTGATCACGGTGTGAATGACGCCGACGCCGCTGTTATCGCGAGAACCCGTGACGTACACTTTATCGTATAAATTATCCACCAGAGGAGGCCCGTTCGCCAGTTCAGCTTTTCTCCTCGAACGATTGTCGCGACACGAGGTGGGACGAGAAATCCTACTCCATCGTTGCTCTCCAACGAGTCTTCGACCAGCCAACAACAACCAGCACGCTTCAAGCGTTCCAACTTACGTACACACACGCACACACGATCGATTCAGCGAAGAAAGGTGAGCATTTCGATCGAAAGAATTCTCTTTGCTCCAGAAAATTTGCATTCCCTTTTTTTTTCTTTAATTTAATTCTCTCGATTCAATTAATCGAATGATCGTTCGTCACGATCCTTCCTCCTTCGTCTGGACGTCTTATTCCTTTTTTCTTCTTTTTTTTCTTTTCCCCACTCTCCAGATGCTGATCGGTGGAGCAGTAAGCTACGTAGCTGGCAAGCAAGCGGTTCGCACGGTTTACTGGCGAACGGCGAGCAACGGCCGCCTGTTGAAGACGGCCAAGACCTGCATGTTCCAAGGACCGCCGAAACCAGCTCCATCCTCCACTTCCGCGTTCGAGGGCCAATCCCACATGGACCCGATACCCAAGGACATCTTCAATCACAGAAATTGAACGACGAATCCTGTTGACAACATGACCAGCTGAACCAAGAACTGGGACTGGGATGAGGGAGGGGAGGGAGGGGAGGGGGGAGGGGAGGGAAGGGAGAGGGATCGACATATGTATGTACATAGCTCTTTCAGTAATTTAAGTTAATATTTGTACATTGAGAGTTGTCTTAGTTGTGTTTAGTTTAGATTTAAGCTTATAGCGATTAAATATATTACGTATTTATTTCTTTTCATCTTCAATCTCTTGTTTCTTGTTCACAACTTCACACTTTTCTTTTTTCTCGTCGATGCGCAAACGTTTTCTCCGAGAAAAATGTTTGCCACGGATTCGAAACGCTTTCCCCCCCCCCCTCCCTCCCTCCCCCCTTCCCTGTCCTCTGCTTAATTTTCGCAACACGATCGTTCACAGCTCGTTATTAGCAATCCCAGAGTCGAGTATACCGAGTGGAAATAATAATAATAATAATAATAATAATAATAATAATAATAATGACGCTCACGCGATTATCGTATCGTCGTCTAGGTGAAGCTAGCGTGCTCCCTGCTAGCGAGCTTTCAAATACTTGAACTTTGAAATAAGGCCAAACCGCGTTTTGCGTCACGAGATTTTTCAACGCGGATAATCCTTTTTTCTTTTTTTTTTTATTTAAAATTCCCACCATGGACGATAATGCTCAATTATTCATCTTTTTTGTAGAATAATAGATCGTTCGTTTCTCGATCGTTTCCGTCGTAACGATAAATTCAACAACGACACACGCTGCCTCCCTTTTCTTTTCTCTCAACGTCCACACCTACGCGTCGCATTTTTGGCGAGATTTAAAAAAAAAAAGAGAAAATAAGTCTTCTCGAAACGATAATTGCTCGCTCGCGTGGCATTTTCGCGTCCCAACCTCAGTTTTTATCATATCATCGGGAGAAAATTGTACAATCACGCGTATGCATCGTGCTCCTCGCCAAGATACACGATTCCCCGATATCAGATGCGTCGTCATTCTCTCAACACGAATAATCTTTCTCGAATGGAATAAACTGTTCGAGGGAATGGCCAGCCTTTTTCTCTTTCGTCCGTGCAAAATCTTCGATGCGCCAACTTAGGAAAGTTATTGCTTCGAATTTACTTTCGATTCCTTCGTGTATAATTCGATAATTGCATTCCTCGATTGATTAATCATTTCGAACGATAAAAGTGTGCGGAAATTGGTGGAAAAGAAAAGATCGGGTTGCAACACTCTTGTATCACTGCACGCGATAAGAACAATCGAACGAAACGTTCTACGACTCTACTACGACGAGATAAAAGAAGGAACGTTGGTTGCGGGTCAAGGTCTCCGACATTCAACGCACGTTCGTTGCCAGCACGGACAGGGTTTCCCTAAACATTCCTGTCTCGAGACTCGAGGCGAAACTTTCTTTTCATCCTCGGTTTCATTCCTCGGTTGATAACCTTTGGAGATGCAAGAAAAAAAAAAAAGAAAAGAAAAGAAAGATATGCAGATTGTCCATGTTTCGTATTCATTAATTAAAACAGGTCAATCGATATCTACGAAAGAAAATGGTAGAGTAAGTAGAAAAACCTAGAATGAAAATAACAAGCAAAGATACGAAGATAGCACATGCTTGAAAACCGGATATCCGGTGTATACGATCAACTGGATGGCGCAAGAATGATGCAAGAACGATGCAAGAGAAGTATTGTCGAAAATAGAAAAAAAAAAAAAAAAAGAAAAGAAAAAGGTCACGATTGGATTAGTCGGGGGAAGGCGTTTGAGACGCGTGCAATTGAACTACAAATTTTCATCCTTCGTTTTCTTCTATCTTCTGTCATCCTAATTAATTCTTCCAATTAAATTTCAAACTTTTTTCTACTTCCATCATTGATTCGAAATCTCGTTGTCATTTAAAAAAATATCATATCATACGAGAGATGGTGCGAACGAACTACAAATTTTCTCGAAAAATTTCCTCGATCCTCGAATCCTTACGTTCGTAGCTTCCAATTTCAAATTTCAAATTTCTCCCATTTCCATCGTTGCAAAATTATTCCTGCTGCACAAAGTTACGATTTGAAAAAAGTATCACGAGAGATCGCAACGAGCAGCGTAGATCTAGGATAGGGGCGCCCATCGCTAGTCGTCGTGTCACCACCGGTCGAGACTATAGGGTGCGCAACGGGATGAAGTTGCGCGGGCGCACTGTCAGGACTATCGATTTCGCGAGCGAAAGGTGGCACGACGGTTGGCCATCGATTCGACGCTCGTCTAAAAGGATTGTAGCTTCGGCGATCCCCGAAAGGCGACTCGAGACACGGTCGAATCTCTCTTCTTCACTCTCTCTCCCTCTCTCTCTCTCTCTCCTCGAGAGGAAGTTGTGGTGGTCGTCGTTCGAAGGCGGGGCCGATTCGATGCGAATCGGCCGCGGAACGTCCGTACTGGATCCTGGACACCAACAAGCGTCTGTCTGCTTCGACATCGATTCGTGGCGCACCAAAGTGTTTCGTTCGAGCGAGGAGCGAAGAAGGGCGAAGAATCGTAGTGGTGGAGTGGCGTTTGGCGTTTCATCCCAGTCATGCAGAATTATGGGCACGAGGATTACGATTACGGGGCTACGGAGGGTGGGCAAGCACAACAGGAGTCAGGTGGTGGTAGAACGTTACCACAGGTTCCAGGCGCGAGACCCATGGTCGACCCCCATGCCCACGGCGAGGTCGACCCGAACCTTTATCCCCAGGCGAAGGAGGCGACGCACAAGATACGTGGGAAAAGCGACGTGATCGAGTACCTGTTCGGCTCCGTGGACCAAGAGCTGCTCACGGTGAAGACGTTCTATTTCTTCTTCTACTCGGCGTTCGGCTCCCTGTTCCCGCTGATGGGCGTCTATTTCAAGCAGATGGGGATGAACGCGTTCCAATGCGGCCTTCTCATGGGGCTCAGACCTTTCATCGAATTCCTCAGCGCGCCTTTCTGGGGCTCGTTGGCCGACAGGTGAGAAGTTTCGACTTTCGTAATTTCGAAATATTCGAAATACGTAGCTAAGCTCGAATCGCAATTGAAAAGTTTCTTTCTCCCTCTTTTCTTTTTTCGTGCGTTAGAGACAAGAGAATCAAATATTGCGTGGGTTACCAGAATCGAGAGAGAGAGAGAGAGAGAGAGAGAGAGAAAGAATGCTTCAACCCTTTATCGATTCGTTCGAAGGTGTAAGAAAGAATCGCACAAGCTCCAAATTTATCATCCGGTGATATCGATTTTTCCCTTTGTTTCCTTTCAGATGGCAGAAGGGCAAATTGATCTTTCTAGCCTCCCTCTCCTGTTGGATCATCTTCACTCTACCCTTAGCCTTCATGCAACCACCGGCCACGTCGTGCATGGTTAGAAGGAACAGTAGCGAGTGGTTGGAAGCGCCGAATCCGAAAACGAGGATAGTCAAACGATCCACCAGCCTCGAGGACTTTTATCGTCAAAACGACGAAGATTGTTTAGAAATAGCGGACAACGTGGTGTTCGAGAGATTGCGAAAGGACACAAATCTGGATCCATTGACGGAGCTCGACTCGCGAGGGAAGAAGGGAAATTACGAGTCGAACGACAACAGGTTTCGAAGGGAGGCGCAACGAGGATCGACCACGACCGAGGACAGCCCCGTCGAGGATCTGAAGTACAAACAGTTGGTGTTCGAGGAGAACGACCCCGAAGCGAAGACCATCGACTTTGAAACGTTGCAAAGGAAAAACCGTCCTGCCGATGTGCTCGAGTACAAGCGTTTTCTCAACGTGAGTTTCTTACTTTTTTTCACACAAAGGTGCGGGAGGAATAACGCTCGTCGAAAAAAACTTGCGTTCGTTCCAGAATCAACCTTTGGAGGACGGAAAACCGCCGAAGAAAGCGTACGCGCACACCAAAACCAGGGTGAAACCGCCCCCGACCAAGGTGATGGTGAAACGAGACGCGGAACACGAGGGAAGTTGGACGGAGAACGAGGATCTGTTCGAGTCCCGGCAACAACAGTGGTCCGCCACGAAGAAACTGCGAAAGATGTCTTTGAACGAGGACGAGGAAGAGGAGAACGATAAGAACGAGATGGAACCGCCATTGGTCAGGAGCAAACGATACGTGAGGATACCTCACTCCGGCCAGAGCCCTCACGCCGTCTCCTACGCACTGAATTACAACGAGCAGGAGAACAAGGGATGGGTGAAACCTTTGTTCAGCTCGATCGTGTACAGATTACCGGTACGTTTGATCGTTTCTCGAATAATTTCTCGACTCGATCGGCAAGTAATTGTCGTTTGTCCAGGACATCCAAAAAACCTTCTTCCTCCTGTTGCTGCTGGTGATCGTCGGGGAATTCTTCTCGGCCCCTGCCATCACTCTTGCTGACTCCGCTGTCATCACTTTGCTGGGCGAGGACGCGGATAGGTAAAAAGGCCTGTTTCGCCATCGAAACATCTCTCTGCATCTCTCCTCTCTGCCCAGATACGGCCACCAGCGAATGTTCGGCAGCTTGGGCTGGGGTCTGGCCATGTTCTTCGTCGGCATCGCGTTGGATCACAGCACCGCGTTCTCAGAGCATCCTTGCGGCCCGGACGCGAGGGAGAAGAACTACACGATCTGCTTCGCCATCTTCAGCGTCCTGATGGGCGCCGCCCTCATCACCGCCACCCAGATCAACTTCAAGTACGACTTTCCTATAGCGGAACCGGTGAGCGATTAATAATATCGATACGAAGCGTGTTTAATCGTCAATTCGTCGTTAAATTAATCCAGGAAGTGGAGAAGCCTCCCGCGGAGCCAACGAGGGAGGAACAGCTGCAGAGCCAACTGTCTCAGCAATTGAATCTACCCAGTCTCCAGGACTCGTCGGCCGCGGTGAATCCAAAGCCGCAACCTCCGGAAGACAAGGTATTCGCAACCACTTCGATCACTTAAAATAACGATCCGTTCCGGGATGGAATTTTCACGAATTTTCGTTCCAGACCAAGATGTTCGCCCAAACGATGCGAGAGATCCCTGAATGGGTGACCGTGCTGAAG